CCAGCTTTACTTATTAATAGGATTTCACAGCAATTCTATTGTCCTTGATTCTTCATCAGGTTAAACTTCAGATACATTGCAGCAGTTCACCCAAGGGTTTGACTCCAAAGCCAACATGCATGTGACACACTGGAGGCGATGCAGAATTGGACCCTAAAATAGCTAAGGCATCTAATTTTCTCCTTGAAGATAAGGACAGACATCTTGAACTTGATTCAATATTCTTTGAGAAGTGTCAATATAGAACAGAGGACAGTTTTGAGGTTTTTGTGATCGTCTGAGTTGCTGAGGAGACATGCTGCAGCGTTTTGTACTTGTTGGAGTTTCCTAATTGCTGATGGCTTCATGCCCGGATATATCACATTGCTGTAATCCAGCCAAGAAGTGACGAAGGCATGAATAACTGAGGCTAGGTTGTCATTCTCCAGGATGGGACAGAGGCACTTAGCCAACTAGAGATGGTATTAAGTGTTACTCTCAGATGATGCTATGCAAGAGTTTAGCTTTAGCAAGGAATCCAGGCGCAGTCTTAAACTATGGACTGAATTGACCAATTGTGGGTGTGAACCTTCAGCCAAAGTTGACTGCATTGTGACTGCAAACTCTTCAAAATGCTTTCATATGCCCACCAGTATCACCTCTGTCTTGTTGTGGCTCAGCTTTATATATTTATTTTATTTATTTATTTAGCGGTTCTTCATCAATGAGCTGATCTCATCCAAAGCACGGGGCTATCTTGGTGGCACTGGTGTGGTCATACATGGTGAAAGATAAGGAGCTATAAGCTATCTGCATACTGTTGGCTCTGGAGTGCACATCATCTGATCAGTTCATTTAAGGGATGCATGCAAGCAGGATCTGTTGTAATGACTGGGCCTACCCATTTGCCTAATTGTGAGTTCTACTGTAAGAAGTGAGTGAACTTTTAGTAAATGTCACAATGACTTATAACAATACATTTTGATGGGAAAAAGTACAAAAGGGAGTCAAAAACTTAATTAGTCTATACAAGAAGGCCTATAAATATAATTCAAGGACTGCGTTAATTCCTGGTACTCCAGAGAAGCATGAAACCAGAAACTAATGGATCAAAATTGGTGTGTCAGAAGCTAGGCCTTACTGATGAACAAAACAAGGAGAGGATGGGCTATCCTGCCCATTATTCCCTTTTGGGACCCTCAGAAAGATATTGGAGGGAAAGTTGGCTAACATGACACTGGCTGACTGAAAGAAGGGGAAGGAATGAACGTCACCATCATGGCTGCCACCCTTTAGCGCAGTGACGACTCACTGGTGCAGCGCCTCCTGCTGGTCATCCTGGGAATTAGCTTGCCAGCCTCCGGCGTGCCCTCTGCAGGCCAGTGTCTTGCCTTGCCGCTGGCCCCAGTGTCCCTCCCGGACCCTGGTACCCCTTGTGCCGGGGTTCTGCTCCCTGCAGTACCCCTCCATCTGGGTCTCCCCACTCAGGGGAAACCCCAACCCCCTATCCCCACCTCAGTGGCTACTGCCAGTCACCATCTAGCCCCCACTCACTGGGGCTGACTGCAGTCTGTAAAGGCCACTCATCATTGGCAAGGGGGGTTTGGACCTGCTGCCTCTGCCTAACCTTGGGCTGCCCCTCTGCAGCCCCAGTACCTGCCTTAGGCCTTCAGCTAGGCCCGCAGCCTGGGGATTTTCCAGGCTGGAGCTCCCCAAATCCTCTAACCTTCCCCCAGCCCTGCTCCACTCTCAGTACCCTGCTCAGCTCCCCAGCAGCCAGGCCCTTCTCTCTACAGGGAGAGGAAGAGAGAGAGAGTCTGAGCTCCTGGCCCACAGCCTTTTATAGGGCCAGCTGTGGCCTGATTGGGGCATGGCCCCAGCTGAGGCTGTTTCCCCAATCAGCCTAGGTTTTTTCCTCTCACCCCCAGCCCTCTCCCAGGGCTGGCTGTAACCCTTTCAGGGCTGGAGCAGATGACCACCCCGCTACACACCCCCACCATTTCCTGGGACCCTGGATCTTTGTTCTAATCCTGAGAGATGTTCTGACCACTCCAGGCCAGAGAGAGGGAGCCAGATGACCACTGCTCCAGCTAATTCCTGAATACCGCCTGGGACTGACTCTGACAACAAAGCAAAATAAAAGAACCACTGCAGCAAGTCTCAGAAACCAGGTTAAATGATGTGGGCTTGAGGGGGTCATGCTGCAGAGCTAAAAATATTAGTGTGGATGTTTGGGCTTGGGCTACAGCCCAGGCTCAGAGATCCACCCCCTCACTGGTTTCAAAGCCCAGGCTCCAGGCTGCTTTTTTAGCCTTGTAGCACAAACCCTGAGAGCCTGAGTCAGTTGACCTGGGCTTTGAGACTCACTGCTATGGATTCATAGACTTTAAGGTCAGAAAGGAGCATCATGGTCATCTAATCTGACCTCCTGCATATTGCAGGCCACAGAACCTCACCTGCCCACTCCTGTAATAGACCCCTAACCTCTGGCTGAGTTACTGAAGTTCTCAAATCATGATCCACCTTTTACGCTAGTTTAAACCTGCAAGTGCAGAGGAAGGTGAACCCTCCCCCCAGCCCCCGCCAGGGTCTCTGCCAAACCAGCCCCAGGGCAAAATTCCTTACTGGTCCCAAATATGGCGATCAGTTAGACTCTGAGTATGTGGGCAGGACCCACCAGCCAGAGACCTGGGAAAGAATTCTCTGTAGTAACTCAAAGCCCGCCAATCTAGTGTCCTGTCTCCAGCCGTTGGGGATTTTTGCTACAGGCAGTAGCCAATGGGCTATTTTTGCAATACCCTTTAGTTCCTCATCCCTGACTCTCCTCCCAATGGGGTCTTTTCCTTCCCCAATTTATTTCTTCTCTTTCCTATCCTTCTCCTTCTTCCTATTACGAGTCTAGCTTAGCTGGCCAAGACTGCACATTTTGCAACATTACTGCAAGCCCGTGACCAAAAAGGCAGCTAGAACTAATGTCCTAAACAGTCCAATACCGGTACAAGTTTGCCAGGTCTCGAAGTGCACAATAAGACCGGGTGCTCTGTCTGTGTTTCTCCAGCAGCAAGCTTGCAAGTGAGAGTTAACATCAGAGACAGAAGCTGCATTTTCTGTCTTTGTTGTTCTTTTTGTCTCCCCTTTTGTGTGTGTTTGTCTTATTTTGCCTTCTAGGAAACTGGACTGGACTTTAACAGCAGCAGCAACAGCTCCAGCCCATCTCAATTACCTTCTTTTTTTCCCTCACAAAAGGACAGTTACCACCGTCTTAAACACCACTGTCAGACAAGGGTTTTTCCCCTCTAAAGACTCTCTACAGCTAACAGAGAAAGGAACACGGGGTGGTGTTAAATGAAATCATTCTTTAACGCAGTGGTTCTTAACCTTTACTGCAGCCTGCACCCCTTTGGTTCTCAAAATATGTTCTCACACCCCTTATCGAAAATTGTTGAAGTAGGTCAGTTCTTTAAACCTAGATATATTTTTTGCTTGTATATTACAGTCATTGTTAAAATATGTATAATGTGAATAAATACATAGGTTTGATGAAACAAAGCAGTTGTACTTACGTGCCTGTGCTTAATTTGTGTTTTCGATGATTTACCTTCTAAAAAAATCTGGCATGTCTTGCACCCCCAGAAAGGGCATCTCGCACCCCTAGGGGGTGCGTGCACCCCAGGTTAAGAACCACTGCTTTAATGCTTTACATTTCAAATGCTTTTTCTTTCTTTTCTGTATCTTTAATAAAAGGTTAAAAAGCTTTTGTAATAATGTTTTTGCCATGGTACTAAGCAGGCTGAGGTCTCTGTGTACCAAACCCTGAATCTTATTTAAAACTGTTTAATGTTGGACAATACCAGGATCATGTTAACATTTTTGACTATTTGGGCCCTTTTATTCCATCTAAATTAATACAACAGATCCTTGCTTTACCCCGATCCATTGGGTTCCTTATAACCTTTGAGATTATTTGTTTATTAGACAATTCTGCTTTAAGAAATCTTTGAAGGAGCCATCTAATTAAAAAAAGCCAGATAAGGCAAGTGAGACAGTGCACAGTGCTACCTGGGGCACTACAACAGGCTCAACCTAATCAAACCAGTCAGCAATGGGCTACAAACACAGTACCAAGTGTGCACTGCTGACAGGGTGGGATTCTATTACTACTGTGTAACACCTCAATAAGGGATGGGCTAACAGGTTTGGAGAACATTACAAACTGGTCCAAACTTCTGCCTGTCTCCCTAACAGTTCTGACAGGTTTGGAACATGAGCATTCCTTCATGCTTCAACTCCCACCATACCCACAAATAACTTCCTCCCTCCTTCCCCGCTCCCAACTCTCCAACCAAGGGAGAAGCAGACACATTTGTCTATAATCAGATTCCCATCACCGGCTCACCCATTCTCAGCTGCATGAGTGAAAAGAGCGAAGGCAGAGCTGGTGCTAGGGAGTCGAGAACAGTGCCAGGCGATGCTTAGTGCTCCAGAGCAGTCAGAGCTCTAGGGCTTGGGGCACCAGCTGTAAACTAAAGTTTTCTTTTGTAAAGTAAGAAAAATATGGGCCTGGTGAAAGAGGCAGGAGCCTCAAGAGGATGCAGAGCGTTTGAGGAATGGATGAGCATTGGATGTTTCTTGGGGTGGGCAGAGCAGGAGAGGAACTGAAGAAACTGAGCCCTATTAGAGATACTCGTACTTCCTCTAAATGTACATGTTAGGCCAGCAGAGAGCAAACATTAGACAATCTCTGTGTTCACAAACCAACAGGACTCCCTGGTTCGGCAGCAATGACCTCAGATGACTATCAGGCACATTTGTCTCTAGAGTGTGTGCTGATTTATTAAGGGGAGACTGTTTACTGGCGACCTCATTCTATTTTCCTGTCTAGGTCTGCTGATGGTTTCTCTAGTCCGATGGCCCAGCAGTTCCATTTTAAGAACACGCCTGTGCTCAGGAGGCCTCCACAGCCCTTTCCTGTTCCCATTTGCCTCATCCTATAGCGGAGAATAGGAAATCCCTCTACTCACAGCTCGAGGATAAGGACCACATCTGTCCTGTTCTCGTAGACGTCGTGCAGCTTGATGATGTTGGCATGCAAGATCTGCTGCAGAATGTTCACCTCCCGCTCGATTTCCTCACGTCTCACCCCCCGGCGGCTGGCCCGGCTCTGACGCTTCTTAATGAATTTAGCAGCATATTCCACTCCAGTGCTTTTCTCTCGGCATTTCTTCACTATCGCAAACTGGCCACTGTAAGGACAAAGTTATAACAGCAATTACAATTAAAGCTTTCACAAATTGCATGGGCAATAACATGAAGCTCCCAGAATTAGCTTGCATAGACAGGGTCTGAACCTGTAAATCTTTTGGTGAATAACCCTTATTCTTACCTCTATAGTAACAATTTTCAGGACTGGGTTAATAAATTGCATGCTGTGCATTCCACCATACTTTAATGCAGTGCTTTAGACCATGCAAAACAAAGTAACCTGTCTGAATGGAAGGGAGGATCCTAGATACAAGCATCAAAGAATTTTTTTAAATCAACAAGGTCTGAGAACTCAAGTCATCAAAAACCAGAAAATTTAAAGCGAGTCCAAACTGCCCTTCATTTGCTAAGTGAAGTTCAGGCACGGAAGTACACAAAATATAGAATGCAGTCTGATGCTCTGGAGGGGTAGGTAATACCTACTGCACACATTTGAGTCAGACCTGTAGGGTGTAATTTTCAGAAGGCTCAAAGAGTACACCAGCCTTTGTAACTGGAGAGTTAGACACAAGTGTCCAGTTTGCATGTACAAGTACAGGTTTGTGTGTGTAAGATGCTGGTCCACACACATTATTGCACTCGGCTTGAAAATCTGACTCTCAGCGTTACTTGAAACTATGCCCGTTTCTTAATGTCAGTTTAAACAAAGGAGAAAGTTTCCCTAATACTTAGCAGGACAATGGTCTAATTCACTGCATCAAACTTTTAAACAGCAGGCAATTATTTGCAGTTGCAAGCAGACTTTTCCTGACAACAGCTGCTAGATGTAGAGGTCATCATTCCAGTCCCAATTTTAATATTTTCTCCCATCCCATAAAAAGGAAACACTTGGAGATCAGATCACTAATACAGAGCATAATGTCCTACATGTTTCAGTCTCATTTACGTGATGGGAGCCTTGTGAAATGAGACATTTCCTTTAACAGGAAAGTGCAGGGGAATTCCTCGTTTTAACCTGCATGAGGTCATTATCACTGACTCCGTTCCTCAGTTAGCTCCCCCAAGACGCATTGTTAGACCACAGAGCTGCCACTTTGGGTACACAGCTGATAGCTGTTCCATTTCGTTTCTCTTTATGAGAGGTTCTCATAACTGGACAAAGTGAAAGACCATGTCCGAGGCAGGAAGATTGCACAAGATGGAGGGGTTATTCATGTGACTCTCTGACCAGTTCTTTTTGGTTCTAATAACTTATTCTGGACAAAGAAATCAGTGGTGTGTGAGTATGTGTGTATATATATATATGCTTAGCCATGCAAAAAACATAATAGGTTTACAAAGCAGGATAGGAAGGTAAGGGGATAGCCTTGGACTATGCAGTTAGTCTGTACAGGACATGTACATGAACCACTGATGTTTACTCAAATTTTTTTAATAGAGAAACATGGAAGGAGGATGGTCTTGTGGTTAAGCCAATGGAGGGACTCAAAAGATCCAAGTTCAATTCTTGGCTATATCACAGACTTCCTGTATAACCCTGGTCAAATCACGTAAACTTTCTATGCCTCAGTATCCCCATCAATAAAATGGGAATTACACTTATTTTCTCCTACTTGTCTTCTCTATTTAGATTTTATGTTTTTAATGCAGGAACTCTCTCAATATGTGTTTTTACAGGGCTTAACACAAAGGATCTTGATTTCATTTGGGTGCTACCAAAATATAATTATTATTAATAATCTATATAAGTTTCCAGGAGTGTCACTCCAAAGCCTAGAATGTCTGTTGAATCAGTGTGAACAATGGAAACAGCTACAAGCATGGCTGAGAGCTTTCTGTTTAGAATATTACCATGGTCAATTGTCATTGGGACTCTCAGACTGTTACTTTCCAATTTTTAATTTCTCCGCCGTTTTGGGCTTTTTTTTTACACCCTACAAATTACAACCATACAACATCATGGACTTTCACCTAGCAACAATAATAAATGGACTTTGGCAAGCTAGCAAGATTCCTCTTAAAATCAGCTTCCTTTAATTACTAACACTGCTTGTATATGATGTAGTAGACTGTCACTTCAACTGGATCTGAAAAGCAGACTAAAAAAATGTGCTGTGACAAAAGTGTGTTGCTTTTAATCAAGGATAATTTAGTGGATTTAAATGGAAACACTTATTACTTATTATTTGGCTTGATGGAAATTTGCACTGTTTACATTAAGCAGAGAAAGCAGCAAGCACGTGTATGAGCATATATTAACCTTGTGCACAAAACGTTGGTTGGTAGGTAGAGCCATGAAAAATATTAACAACAAAATCTGAAACCAAGTGAACCTTGCCAGACTTTAGGTTTCATTACAAACTTCAAATTCAGACAGGTTAATCAAAAGGGTCCCTGAATTTCACAAGCCTGGCCAGATTTAAGGCGCCACACAGAATTTGTGCAAAATTGTTTAGTTTGGATACAAATCTCTCATATTTCAAGTTGTTTCACTCAGATTTTTTGAAACCAAAACTCAAAGCTGAACTTGGGGCAGGAGGGGAGAAGAGCGAGCAGGATAAAGCCAGATAAAATGCTGGCATAAACCTTTGCCAACCAAAAGGACCAGGCTTCACACAGCTCTTCTAGCTAGTACCTGCACCGCCTCTGTTTAAATTACAGTGCTGAATAGGTATCATTTCACCAGATTCAGATATACCTCCATATTAGGCTGCAGGGAATTCAGTCACAATTAGAAAGAGGAAGTGGTCAGTCTACTCTACTCATAGTGGGTTTAATTTGTTTACTGGCATCACTCAGTTCAGCAGAGAGTTAAGTTTACTGGTGAAAATGCTGAACTTTTATACAAACAGGCAACACCTAAACAAAGTTATTTTTTAAACTATTAAATAGGCCATCTCAGGGGCTTCTCCAAGGTGATGGTGCTTTCAGGAATATTTATTTATCTTTCCATTATCAGCAACACATTGCGGGAACGTGGAGACCTGGTGAGACAATGCTATCACGTGGAAAGTACAGGATGAAATTCACTTCCCAATATTAGCAGCTACCTTTTGTTACATAATTGCATCCCCACTGGAATTCACAAAATATTAATACTGATTTATGGCTGGGGGGAAAATAGAATGAATGTTTAGAAAAGGTGCTGTTGTATATGTGCTGGGATAGTGACAAATGAACCCCATTATAGGGATACAAAATATTATGCAATCTGAGGCTTGGATCTGTAGTTAACATCAAAGGCTTGGTGTTCCATCCAAGCACAAGAGGTATAAAAAATGGTGACTTGTATAGAAAGCAGAGTGGGTTGGAACATTTTTGGCAAAACTAAGTTTTGCCAAAATATGCTGAATCATGAAAGCCAAAACATTTTGTGTAGATGTATTGGTTTAAACTAAGTTTTCAATGGGAATGGTGGGTGGGTTTTTTTGGGGAGGTGGGGGAGCAGAGGAGAGATACTTTAACATTCTATAGCCTCCTGGTTAAAGCACTGGCCTGGGATGTGTGAGACCTGGATTCACGTCACTGCTCTGCCTGATGCAGATTCATCTGGGATTAAAAACTCTGCTCTGAATCAGGCAGGGTGGGTCTCACGCATCCCAGACGGTGCCCTAAATGCCAAGAGACAGGCAGACTCAGACACACATTTCCAAAAGCTCAAGTTTCAATCTGCAAATGGACATTTCAACATGATTCCGCTTTTGCAGAAACATTTGAAAGGTTTTGTTCCAAAGTGGTACAAAACTTGAAAGTTGCGGCGAAACAGAATTGTCGTCCTCCGGTCCAGTCAGCTCTAATAGAGTGTGCAGGGGGAACCTGATCCTGCATTAATGAGAGCACTTCTGTGAAGACAAAAAAATTACTCATGCTTAATAGCAGGAGTGAGGCCTACAGAGGAGTTCAAAGCTATGGTCTCATTAATAAGAGGAGGATCAAGCTTAAACCTGTATCTCTTCAGAAACTCCCACTCTCTGCTCGTGCCCTGCCCCCTTTTCATACAGTGTACTTGCAAGAGCAGGGATGCAAGATTTCATACTGCACAGAATAAAAGACAATGCCCGGCACTTCACTTTTACCCATGAGCAGCATCCACTCCCCCCTGTGCTGGCACGCTATAATTTTGAGCACCCCACTGAGCATGAATTGGTAGGATCCTTGCCCAAGTGTATTTGTTCAATATCAGGTCTATCCTTGTTCAGGGTACTATACCCCAAGCTTGCAGGTAGTTCCATAGTTTCTACTATGAGCTTATGGACTACGCTCTATGCAGGGGTGGCTGTATGTTTTTTGCCGCCTCAAGCACGGCAGTCAGGCGGCCTACGGCGACACGCCTGCAGGCGGTCTGCGGTCACGCAAATTCGGCGGCGTTTCTGCGGGTGATCTGCCAGTCCCGTGGCTTCGGCGTACCCGCTGCCGAATTGCCACCGAAACCGCGGGACCAGCGGAGCTCCTGTAGGCACACCGCCGAAGGCTGCCTGAGTGCTGCCCTCATACCGACCAGCAGGCTGCCCCCCGCGGCTTGCCGCCCCAGGCACGCGCTTGCTGTGCTGGTGCCTGGAGCAGCCCCTGGCTCTATGCAAGGATCTCTTTATAACAATCAATCACAAACCTACTCATTAAATGCAAACACCTAAGATTACAGGCTTTCACTTGCATTGGAGAAGCTATGAGCTGCAATGATTTTCAACATTATTATATCCTTCGCTGGCTTGTATGCAAGTGCAGTTGGGAATATAAATTATGCAGCACACACTGCAATTACACTCAGTACCTTATAATGAAACACTCTAAGTACCTGATATAATTAACACAGAAACAGCTGTTTGGAGTCAGTCTTAAATCTACAAAAGGCAAGGAAACCAAGAGTTAAAACTTGCCCTTGACCCTAGCTTGCCCTGGAATGCCTAGGTAGTATGGGGTAAAATCTCACTCACTAATTTCAGATTCTTATAAAAAGATATTGATATGTTTATGAACCTTAGAGCCATTCCAAACATTTCTGGTGTGGGCTAGAAGATTTATTTATTTAGAAGACTTTTAG